AAAAAAATAAGTTGTTGTGGAGAATTGTGTGGGTATGGCGAGTGGGAAAGAACAGGAGTTGGAAGACGCGCCAGCAGCACTTTATAGGTCTGCTGTATGGGACCACTTTGCATTTAGAGTGACCTACGATGACGGCGGAAAGAAAGTTGTGGATAAAAACAGTGTGCAAGCATTGTGCAACACCTTTTGTTTATGCTAATAGCGACACAACCAATATGTCATGCTAACATTCAACATATACCGAACCGAATACTGTGACCTCAAAACCGTGAACCGAACTGAACCGTGGATTTTGTGAACCGTTCCACCCCTACTAGAGAACTCTCAACACAGGCACAAGTAATCTGGCAGTGATGACTGGCTGAAGGCTGGTTAAATAGAGACCTGAGCAGGTGGAATGGTAATGGGAACTAAGCAGAGATAAGCAGGTGAATGAAATGAGTAATCAGGCAGGTCATCAGCGCCAAGATCTTTACACAAGCTGTAAGATTTCTCTGGCCTTGTCAAAATGTAACTCAGGAGCTAACTCAAGACGCATAAATGCAAAAAGATGTTCCAACTGGTTGGGCCCTCTTCAGTTAAGCAACACAAAATCGGACTCAGTGCCAATAGATGGCGCTGGTTGGACTCGTCAATCTGGAAGGAGAAGAAGAACTCCCTTGTTTGCACATACACAGTGCTTGAGGTTCTGGTAAATTCTAGGGATGCACGATATTGGGATTTTGGCCGATATCCGATATGCCGATATTTTAAAACTCATGTAGCCGATAACCGATATCGATACTGGTGTTAAAGCTGGACAAAAATAAGTAGTCATTGAAAATAGCAGTTTTGTTATCCATTTCTGACACTTTGAAAAATAATATACTCAAATATATTTTCATATGCTGATATCAATTTGATTTTTAAAAACGCGGTATCGATCTATTTTACTTTTTAAAATCTCGTGAAATTTTATCGTTCTGTTACAAACTCTTCTGATATTTTGCAAATTCTTGTGAGATTTTGTTAGTAAAATAGATCGATACCGCGTCAATATATCAACATATAAAAATATGGCAACATTTCGTGAATTTTCGGGGGATTTCGTAGCATAACGATGACATATAGAAATATTTTATTAGTAAAAGAGATTGATATGGTGTTTTTAAATGGCAATATATCAGCATATGAAGATATTGGGATATTTTAATGTATCAATATTTTGTCCCTCATCTTTAGAAGTTTTTAAGTCTGTAAAAAAGAAGTTTTTGAGGAAGAAGAAAAAAAGAAGTAGTTTTTTTTTTTTTTTGAATTTGGAAACTCAGAAGCTGATGAAATATCGGGTTAAATATCGGTGGGGTGGCCGATATCCAATATTCAGTTTTAAGGCAGATACCGATAGGGGGCCGATTATATCGTGCATCCCTAGTAAATTGGCTCGTTTCCCGACCTTATGATTACTGATCGGGAGGTGGTGGTGAGAGGCGGATCGCGTCTCGTTACTCCCTGTATACAGGTGCTGGTCATAAAATTAGAATATCATGAAAAAGTAGATTGATTTCAGTAATTCCATTTAAAAAGTGAAACTTGTATATTATATTCATACATTACATACAAACTCATATATTTCAGATGTTTATTTTGTTTAATTTTGATGATTACAAATGACAACAAATGAAAATCTCAAATTCATCATATCAGAAAATTAGAATATTACTGAAGACCAATAAAAACAAAGGATTTATAGAAATGTTGGCCAACAGAAAAGTATGAACATGAAAAGTATGAGCATGTACAGCACTCAGTATTTAGTTGGGCCTCCTTTGGCCTGTATTACTGCAGCAATGCGGCGTGGCATGGAGTCGATCAGTCTGTGGCACTGCTCAGGTGTTATGATAGCCCAGGTTGCTCTAATAGTGGCTTTTAGCTCTTCTGAATGGTTGGGTCTGGTGTATTGCATCTTCTTCTTCACAATACCCCATAGATTTTCTATTGGGTTAAGGTCAGGAGAGTTTGCTGGCCAATTAAGAACAGGGATACCATGGTCCTTCAACCAGGTACTGGTAGCTTTGGCACTGTGTGCAGGTGCCAAGTCCTGTTGGAAAATGAAATCTGCATCTCCAAAAAGTTGGTCAGCTGCAGGAAGCATGAAGTGCTCTAAAACTTCCTGGTATGTGGCTGCGTTGACCCTGGACCTCAGAAAACACAATGGACCAACACCAGCAGATGACATGGCACCCCAAACCATCACTGACTGTGGAAACTTTACACTGGACTTCAAGCAACGTGGATGAAGTGCCTCTCTTCTTTTCCTCCAGACTCTGGGACCTTGATTTCCAAAGGAAATGCAAAATTTACTTTCATCAGAGAACATGACTTTGGACCACTCACCAGCAGTCCAGTCCTGTTTCTCTTTAGCCCAGGCAAGACGCTTCTGACGCTGTCTGTGGTTCAAGAGTGGCTTGACACAAGGAATGCGACAGCAGAAACCCATGTCTTTCATACGTCTGTGTGTGGTGGTTCTTGAAGCACTCACTCCAGCTGCAGTCCACTCTTTGTGAATCTCCCCCACATTTTTGAAGGGGTTTTGTTTCACAATCCTCTCCAGGGTGCGGTTATCTCTCTTGCTTGTACACTTTTTTCGACCACATCTTTTCCTTCCCTTCGCCTCTCTATTAATGTGCTTGGACACTGAGCTCTGTGAACAGCCAGCCTCTTTAGCGATGACCTTTTGTGTCTTGCCCTCCTTGTGCAAGGTGTCGATGGTCGTCTTTTGGACAACTGTCAAGTCAGCAGTCTTCCCCATGATTGTGTAGCCTATAGAACTAGACTGAAAGACCATTTAAAGGCTTTTGCAGGTGGTTTGAGTTAATTAGCTGATTAGAGTGTGGCACCAGGGGCCATCAATTTTGAACCTTTTCACAATATTCTAATTTTCTGATATGATGAATTTGAGATTTTCATTTGTTGTCATTTGTAATCATCAAAATTAAACAAAATAAAAATCTGAAATATATGAGTTTGTATGTAATGTATGAATATAATATACAAGTTTCACTTTTTAAATGGAATTACTGAAATCAATCTACTTTTTCATGATATTCTAATTTTATGACCAGCACCTGTAGTACACGTCACGACGCAAGATTCACAATCAGGCTGAAACTCGGCCTGATGGAAAAAATTCTCAAAGGACGGAGAATCAGCCCCAAAAGGGCAAAAAATCGTACAGTGAATGCCCGTCTTAACAGCGTGACCGAGGTTTATAAAGCTTCATCTTAATGAATCACAGTACTACGTTTAGCAAAAACCAAAGATTGCATACAATCAGAGATGTATGATAATGAAGGAGTCATGAAATTGGCTTATTTTACAGCAACGAGACAAAACAGCAACTGAAAACTGCTGCTGTAAATCCTGACAGAGCGTTAATAAGGAGGAAACATCACATCCGATTTCCATGAGCTCAAAACCTCCGGCACTCATTACCAACAAAGGGTTTTCAATAAAGTATTAGAAACAACCATTTTAGTTACGATTATTTAATTTATTCAGTTACTTTTTTAGCCCCTCAAATGAAGGTAATGTTTAAAAAAAAAAAAAACGTTTTATGCATTCATCAAGTTCAACCTAGAGAATTAAAACTAAAAGTCTGTGGCTCTGAATTTTCTTCATCATTTATGATGATGAATGAATTCATATATACATAATATATAAGTAGGTGGTTAGATGGTTAAATATCTGTTGGAGAATTCATGCTTTGTTGTTTCATATGATTTGCATTATAATTATGTGAAAAAGGGGCGAGAAGAGCTGGGAGTTTGTACAACTGATAGAGGCCACCGATGGTTCACTTCCTGTAGTAGCTACTCAGCCCACACATTATCACAGGAACCACAGGGAGTCTGTGTGTGTTTGTGGATCTGTAGCGTATTTCTTCTGTTCTCATTATTTGTGGGTAGGTTGAAGAGTCCAGGAGCTTACTGGGAGCATTTTCAGAGCTCTCAGTTTTTGCATATTGCAGCTGAAAAATGGACAGGAAATGTGATTTCTCAAATGCAAAGTCGAGCTCTCACTCCCCTGTAAAAGATCAGTAGTGAGATTGGACGGTGCACAAGGACAGATGGCCTTTCTCTGATTTATCAACTGGCCTCAATAATCTATTTATATGCTTTTATGATTGCTTTTCTGATCAAACAAACATGTTGGCAATAACTTGTAATAAAAGTATTCCTTCAACCCCTTCCTTGTGCTGTCAGACTTTTACTTTACTGGGATTTTTTATTTTATTCTATAAAATCAGTTGAGAAAATGTCAGTCATCATACTTTTCTCAATTAATCTCATATACATATAGATTTTACACATTATAATGTCCGAAATTACCCTTCTTCAGTGGCTTATATATATGTATATGTACACTACCGTTCAAAAGTTTGGGGTCACGTTGAAATGTCCTTATTTTTGAAGGAAAAGCACTGTACTTTTCAATGAAGATAACTTTAAACTAGTCTTAACTTTAAAGAAATACACTTTATACATTGCTAATGTGGTAAATGACTATTCTAGCTGCAAATGTCTGGTTTTTGGGGCAATATCTACATAGGTGTATAGAGGCCCATTTCCAGCAACTATCTCTCCAGTGTTCTAATTGTACAATGTGTTTGCTCATTGAATAAAAAACAGCAGAAACAGGCTCTAACCAGAGTAGAAAAAGAAGTGGGAGGCCGCGTTGCACAACTGAGCAAGAAGATTAGAGTCTCTAGTTTGAGAAACAGACGCCTCACAGGTCCCCAACTGGCATCTTCATTAAGTAGTTCCTGCAGTAGCCTGTTTGTGCTGTCCTCTGAAGGGAGTATTTATATTTGAATATTTATACACCAGCTTATTGATTTCTTGGATTGTGACACTTTTGACCCTGCATATTAATCAGTCCAGCTTATATCATTTTAAGTTGTTAATAAAATGGATCCAGAAATGGTTTAAGGTTTTTCAAGGTCTGCTGTTGTCTGTGTTCAGGAGCTGTGTGAGGACCCTCACCTGTTTGTAGATGGCATCAGTGCACACGACCTGCATCAGGGACAGTTGGGCAACTGTTGGTTTGTTGCAGCTTGTTCCAGCCTGGCATCCAGAGAATCTTTGTGGCAAAAAGTAAGTATATCTGCCTGTGGGCTGTACTTCCTTACTTTTGTGTTTGTGTATAGATATACAATCTTTTTTATGCATCTTAAATGTGTGTTCTTATGTATGCAGATAAAGTCAAATAATAAAGGCAAATAATTTCATTATACAGTATTTTGCAGCCAAGGAGTGTAAGTTATTTTTCCTTTTGGAATTGTCTCTATTGACAGTTTTTCAGGGTTTCTTAAAACACGGTTCATCCATTTTTGCACTGCTTCACCATTTTTATGTCTTGTTCTTGTGCTTCGCTATAACAGAGTATTTTGTTGTGCAACTTAAAAAATGAACATATTACCAGCTGTTTTCCATCCGTTTAAAATTCAAACGGATGGAAAACGGCTGGTACAAAAACTGTTATGAAGTCCATAAAAGCAAACATTTAAAGTTGAAATGTTTGCTTTTACGTACTTCATAACAGTTTGTCCTTTTTTAGGTTGCTGGTGGGTTACAAGTATAAGTTTAGTTCTTTGGTAAATTGTTTTTTCAGCAAAACACTTTTTAATTTAGAGACATATCTACACCCCTTTAATTGATGAAGTTCCCTCACAAGCAAAACCAGACCTCAGTGAGCTGCCATGTCCAGAAGGAAACATGTAGGAAAAACCTGCCAACAAGTCAAAAAGAAACTCTGAAAGTCAATAATAGAGCAGAAGAATCGACATTTAAAAGAATTATCTGCCAGTTTAGCTGCTTGGATGTAAGGGCCCTGTCACACCTTCCCGATTTACCCAGTGTATGCCCGATGTCTCAGAATCTCCTAAAATGCTGGCATGCGTTGAACTTTCTTTGTATTTTCTGAAATTAGGGGCATATACATAGAGTATTCGCAAGTCCAGAACTTATGTCAGAAGACAGCCTAACCGCTGCTGGAGGTTTATTCTTGTTAAAAGGGAGTTTTTCCTCTCCACTGTCGCTACAAGCATGCTTACTGGGAGGGATTGCTTCAAGTCAATGAGTCGATGCAATCAACAGTTTTTTCTTAGATAGAAAACTTTGAATAAATTTGACTGGATGATCTGGTGAACTGGAAAGTGCTTTGAGATGACTTGTGTTGTGAATTAGCACTATAGAAATAAACTGAATTGTATTGAATTGAACTAATGCATCATGCACGGCAGTGTAATGCCAATGAAATGATGCTTGTGCATCATTTCATTGGCATTATGAAGCATCAGTTAAAGCTGCTCCCCTAAGGTGCATCGCTGCTCCTGGAGGCGCCTGGTCTGCATAGAAAGATTTCTTTGATTGCAGTATTAACGTAGCTGCTGTTTAATTATGTCACTTATGCCCCACATATGAGCATACGCTGAGATATGTTGGGAAATTTTGAGGATGCTCAAAATTTCTCGATGTACTTGTCGTATATTGACGTGTACCAGCGTACTTCAGCATGCTCATAATTTATACAAAACGTACCCATAACTTATCCAACGTATGCCAGCGTTTTTGCCAGATTTTCCGTATGCCAAGCATACGCTGGTCTAAATCGTCAAGGTGTGACATGAGCTTAAAGTATATAAAAATGATATAAGTCTGTTTTTGTTCATTTGTTTACAAACAGAAAAAGTTTTCTAATCACCAACAATACATAGACTCAACACGTTTAAAAAACAAACACTGCTAAAGTGCAGTATTAATTATCCAATGATGAACGTTTATGTCCATTAGTGACCATTATTTGAAGATGCAAAGATCCGAGCATTAATGCGCCTCCCTGGTTTCAGGGTCTCTGAGGACAAACTGGAAGCACTCAGTCTAAATGAGCGTCAGATAAATGTGGTTTTTCATCAGGGTGTAACCTGAAGAGGAGTGTTTACTCTGATCTGACCAGCCGTCAGTGCAAATGGATGTAAGGATTGAGGAGGAACAAAGATGCATTTTGCAGATGGATGGATGGAAACCCTGCGTAGCTCTGATTTGGATGCAGACACATCAGCATATGTTAGCTCTACCACAGGTAACGCCTAATCCTTAAAGGGAAAGTCTGGTTAACAAATAACCAATTGATCATTATTTATACCTAAAACTAATATGTTTGCGGTGATTTAATGAATTTAGCGTCATGAAGTGAAAAAATTAAAACAATTTTTGCTGTGATCACCGAGTCTGGGAGCTAGGGGTGTAAATCACATCCATCATGGCGATTCGATTCAGTATCGATTTCCTGACCCAATGATTCGATTATTTTCGATACTCAAGAATACACCACGATTCGATTCGATTTGATTAATCGGTTAATTTTTTATTTTTTACACCTTACAGGCTAAACAATGTTTCAAATTTGAAATAAATCAATGAAAGCTGTAATATCGTTATGCATTTTTTTTTTTTTTTTTTTTGAGAAACAAGAGCAAATAACAGAAGTAGAAAAGTTACATCAGAAAATACTGCAATAAATCAGTGCAATGAGTTCAATGCAATACCTCGGCTCCAGACGTCCCGCCCCCTCCACAGACGCTCCGCTGCTCCTCTCCCAGATTGTAGCTGACCGCAGACAGGAGGCCGGCTTGTTTTGTTTTTATGACCGAAATTGAAGAAAACAACTTGTGAAGTTTGACCCGCTACAAGAGCGAGGTGCACAAGAACGCTGGGAACCTTTTTCCACCTGGATCTCCGCTCTTTTTGGCCTTCATGTCCCTCCGTCGTCGGACTAAACTCGCCCCCACTTCCTCACCGCCTCGGCCGTATCTAGACCCACAGCGTGTAGCTCAGACCACGCTTCAATATTGAGCATAATTTAAAAATGTCTGTGTCAAGCTCACTGCAACACACTGCTGTAAGAGTATAACCAGGAAGCGAGGTAGGAGAGCAAAATAGGTTTAGCGGCACCGCAGCACGGGAGGGAGAATTACACCCAGGAGCAAATGGATAAAAATAACCGGAGGAGAAAAAAAAAAAAAACATGAATTGATACTCTTGCGGACGTATTGGATCATCGGCTGATGGATCAATGTATCGATACAAAACAATTATTATTTACACCCCTACTGGGAGCGGCCATTTTTGCCCAAATATAGTAGCCCCTCCCTCCTGCCATCTTCCAGCAGTGACGTCACGGTGTGGTAAGCCTAGCGTCATTCTCCCCGCTTTACAAGCTAAATCAATGGGAACTACTAGACACATCTGCAATCAACAACAATTATTGAAGATTTCCAGAGGACTTCACCATTGAAATTCACCAGAGCTATAGTGAAACTGACAATGCCCACGTGCATGGCAGCTGGATGCTGGAATACATCGGGTAAAAGTGAAAAAAAAGAGTTATTTCACCTTTCTGATTCCTGATCCTCCACGGACGGGTTGGTCGTTGGATCGCCAACTTGAAGAGGGAGGATTTGCCATCGAACTTCTGGCCAGAGAAAAAACCCGTAATATGTAGCCAACATTTGGAAGAAGAATGTTTTCCAGATGACTTGGATAATAGCGCGTTGTGACAAACACCAGATACAGCACTGGGACTTGATCAACAGCCGATACCGCACCGTGACGTCACAAACCAGTAGGTGGCAGTAGTGTTCTTTGACAAACATGGATGCCTCCAGTAAAGCACATTCACATGAAAATTACTCTGAATTAAAAACACTTATTTATTGAACAGTATGTAATAATCTCATATTTAAAGTACTTTCAGAAGTTTGTATTCTGAATATGACCGGACTTTTCCTTTAAGCTAATTTTGGTTTTATAATGAAGAAGCAAACAGGTGGATGAGGACATTTAAGACATTTAAGCGGTCAACTTAAATGAGGAGAATTATTCTGCCCTTGTGAAGAAACAGAAAAATACTAGAGAAACGGTTTCCCACCTTTAAACCTCAAAACATCTATTTCTCTACGGACTTGTTAATATTAGCTGGGCAGCATTATATGGAGGCTGAAAATGGATAAATACTGAACATAAACAATAAAAGATTCTAAAAACAGTGAAATCGTTTTACAATAATTTAACATAGAGGCATCTCCGTTACACAAACAGCACAAGAACAAGAAAAGAACAAATATTTCCGTTTTTAGATGTTTTAATGGCAGTTATAAAATACAATTATACAATAAGAAACACAATAACAATATATTTATTATGATAAATAGTATTGCATGTTATCATTAACAAACTACCATGTTATTTTTATGCTGTCTTAATACATATATCAGTACATTTATATGAAAATAATAATATTGTTAGTGGTATTAGCATTAGTTTTGCATTATTAATGTGAAAAGTATTTGCAGTAGTGCTGTTACTGTTATCTTACCTTTAAAATATAAATTGTAGGACTTATTTTATGATTAGATGATTATTGAAAACATGTTTAACTTAACAGAAAATTAATAAGATCTTATCTAATCATTAAAATAAATGTATAAACAACACAATTAAAACTTGTAACCACAGAAAAAATATATTTTTAAGAGGATTGAAAGTGATAAACTTGCCCAAGTGTTTGGACGAGGATCTTATATATTTAATTAAGATTTCTACTAAAATGTCATCTTGTATAGACAAGGGAAAAAAAATCCACTTTGCATAATTTTGTTTGGTATAAAACATCTCTTTACTGACCTGATGACTGGCACAGATATAACTTCTTATTTAATATATGGCATGGTGATTTTATTTTATTTTATGTGAAGAACTTTAAGGTGTTGCTTTTAAAAAGATCTATATGAATATGCTTTTTAAAACATACATTTTTTTCCTGTTTACTTTTTGTAAATTTAGTTTATGTTTTAATATGAAATTTACATGACATTTATTAATTTGTTTTTGACTAAATGTGGACATATTCCAAAGACTAAATGCCAGAATAATGACAGCAGTAAGATGAGAGACATGGTGATTGTTGCTTGGATTAAATGACCGAAGGGGAACTTTTAATAACAAAAGAATAGATATTAAACTATGTGAGGTTTGCACTCATGTTCTGAAAGCATCTAAGACTCTTAAAAGTATAGAGGATGAACTTTTATTTC